TTTGTCTTCATGCGCCAATGAGCAGCTCTCATAGGAAAGAACGAGACCCCGCCTCCCACGCTGTATCCACTTCTTATTATACATCCATGGTCGCTAACTGTTGTTGTCTGTGTTATTGTTGTTTTGTGCTTTTTTAGGTCATACTCTGTAAAGCACTTTGGGCTGCATCAAGCATGAAAGCTGCTATATAAATAAAGTTTATTATTATTATTTATATATTGTATGTACATTGTGTTAATTTACAGTGCTGTTAAAATGAATTTCCCCCAGGGGACAAGAAATATAATCTAATCTGTGACTGGTGACTACGAAAAGTGTCATTTATTGGCTGAGAAGGTGTGGGAAATCTATCTGATGAAACAAATAGCTTATGCACGAAGACTTTAAAACAGAAATGTATTAAAAAGGTGGACTTCTGCCGTTATTATACTCGTACAGCAAAGCAAACAACATATGCCCACACCTTCTGACTCATACCAGTACCTCCATCTTCCTCACACACATCCATACACAGTTCTCCCCAATTGTGTTATTATGATGTATGTATTTATTCATTTATGTATTATTATTATGTGGATAAAGCTGAAGAAGAAAAGGCAAGAAAACCTAAAACGTGTGAATATGCTTTTGTAGGGTTGCTAATACTGAAATAGAAGCTATGTTAAATAATACAAATTATAGATATTTGTATTATTTAAATAGATATGTCTGAAGCTGTGAAAAGATGTTCCCAGTCAAATGAGAGCTGATGTGATGATTAACATCCTCGTCTTTTTATTTCTTCTCCCAGTCTCTTGAGGGGTAGAAAGCTGTGTGTGCAGAACGTCTCTGGAAGTTAATTGGCATCGCCTGAGAAGACTGCCAATGTATTCAAATCCATCGCTAGTCATTTACTACCGCAAAATCAATGTCTGCAAATAAAAAGAGAATCTCAAAGGACCAATTGTTTGTCAGCAAACGGTAAATGGAGCAAAAAGAGAAGAAATCGCTTCATGCCGTTAGTTATAAGTGTGGTTACTTGATAAAGGGAAATGTGTGGAAATGTCTTCGTCCATGCCAACATCCGATGTGATTCATGCTTTATTTGGATTGGGCAGGGTTTGTTCTGTTGGTGTTATTCCTACCTGGAGTGGTGGTGTGATTGGGAGGAGTCGAGAAGGGAGGAGGAGGGGAGGGAGAGTCCTCCGTGCAGCTGTTCAACAACTGCAGGAACTCAAGGGCGCTGGAAAACTCCCTGAAAGAGACACACATTCAACAGATCCAGGGTAAGTCATAGAGTGGTGCCACGGTGACGCCTTTTTGAAGGTCGATTCATAAGATAGCATCGCAAGGCTGCTTCTGTAAAAAGCCAATGGGGTTTTTTGCATTTGTAATTTGGATTTTTGCAGATTATAAAGAGACATTTTGTGATTTTTGAAGCGTAAATGCAATTGCCAAAGGTAACGTAGGCTTAAAAAGGAACTACATCACGATCACATGACCACCGCTAAGCTAAAGGTGGCTAATTTTGGTTGTGTTGATGTTTAGTCCATTCATTTAGACACTCGTTAGCAAACACAGTTTTGAGGACATGTAAAAGCTTCAGACGTTCTCCAGTGGGCTATTTACTGACATATTCTATGTGTATGACAAAACATGAACATATTTGATGCTTGTGTTAACCACAGACCTTACTGTATTTCAGGCATGTAACCAAACACACATAAAAACAACCATTGAAGCACCCGTTTCGGATTTGTCTGTCTGTACCGATTACCCAGGGAGAGGTCAGAGAATTTAAATGAATGTCTGTATTTATGTATCATGTGCTTAGAAGGAAAGGGGTAATGTATGTATGTGTGTGTATGTGAGCAATAACGTGTAGATTTGAGTGGACTGTAAACTGAGGCGGGTGTGATTTTGATGTACATCTCCATGTATGTTATATATTTGTGGAATAAATAAAAAGTTAAAAATAACAAAATAACCATTGACTTTGAGACGAGTGATCCTGGAAGTGCTGAAATGCACATACACTGCTGGTACCCTCTGCCTTACCCAGAGTCGTTGTTGCGTTTCCCAGCTTCAGAGTTGCTCTGCGGCTGGATCAGTGTGTGGACGGCTCTCTCCAGAAGCTTCCTGCAGAAACAGCGGTGCAGCTGGGCGATGGGGTCGGCTGCAGGGAGGAACAGTTATATCGTATCTAATAAAGTTATATGATATCTAATATGTATTTATGACCTAGTACCAGGGTTTCCGCTAGGATTCTTTTCTTGCCGGTCAAATGTCCGGAAATAATTTATTTTACCGGACAAATTTGAAACTTACCGGTTATGTTTCAATAATAATAATAATAATAATAATAATAATAAGAAGAATTGTGTAGCAGAGTCTCCGTTAGCAGGTAATTGAGAGTAAAATAGCCTCTGGGTGTGTTTGCCTCATACCTGGGTCTCTCTGAGAAGTGTACACGCCGTCGCTGCTGTCCGACTTCACCGACCAATCACAGCTCAGGAAGAACTGCCTCCCCAGCGGCGTGAAGAGCCAGCGCAGGCAGTCAGGGATGGACTTGCCCTCTGATTGGTTGGCCACACTCTCTGCACAACTCAACAGATAACCCTGGGGGATAAACGGGTAAGAAAATATGATGTTGATGAAAAGAAAACTCTTCAAAAGTCAGGAAGTGTTTAAATTCGGACTCATTTCCAGGTTAAGGACTCATTCCTGCACCCTCTATTCAGAGGACTGTACAAGTAGCTCAAACTACTTTAGTTCAACAACTTGTACCACTAAAACAATACTCCAATTCATCAATTAGTTATGATCTGTTGTGAGGAAAGTCAGTTTAATTTGGTTTGAATATGCATTTTGTCTTCAGAATGAGAAAAACTGTGGATTTATAACTTCCTGTGTGTTCCAGGTGAATAAGTGCTGAACGCCCCAAACAGGTTCCCAGTCGTGACTTATTTAGACTGTCCTTGTTTCATCAAGCTGCTATGTGTGTTAAAGTGTGTGTATGTGTGTGTGTGTGTGTAAAAAAAGTCCTTGATTAGAGAAATTAGTGGCATGTGTTTTTGGAAGAGTAGCCTGGGTTTAACATTTTATGCATGAACGCAAATTACTTAATTGTATTTTAAGTAGTCCTGTGTGCGTGTGTTCTTGCAGTATGTGTGTGTGTGTGTGTGTGTGTGTGTGTGTGTGTGTGTGTGTGTGTGTGTGTGTGTGTGTGTGTGTGTGTGTGTGTGTGTGTGTGTGTGTGTGTGTGTGTGTGTGTGTGTGTTCTTGCAGTATGTGTGTGTGTATGTGTGTTTTTATCCTCTGATGTTCGTATGTATGAAACGCTCTTTCCCCATCATCCCACACTGTGTTGCCCCCGCTTCATCTCAGCACACCATTCGTTTCCTCTGTTCGCCTCGGAGGCCGCGTTAAAGAATGTACCAGTAAAGTTTCTGTGTCTGTATCATGGAAACTGAGAACACTAAAGCCAACTGATGACCTGTACCCATAATGCATCTATGCCTCTTACTTTTTATATTTAAGTTAGAGTTAATTTCCTGTCGTACCCATGCAAACAGTCCTCTCTCTTGCATCATTCATTCAAGCGCAACATGGTTAGTAGCAGAGATTCTTCACACAGTAATTAAAGTATCCTCTACTTGAATACATAATTAAATTAATAAAAACAGCCCTTTTTTATTTTGAAAATAGGATAACAATTTTTACCATAACTCTCACTGCCAGAAGGGTAGACAATGGTCCACAGTGTTAAAATGTATAAAAACAAGTTGGAGACAGAATTCAATTAGACTGTCAGCGTGCTGCTTAGCTAGCAAACATTAGCTATCTAGCCAACTAGCAAACATTAGCTATCTAGCAACTAGCAAGCATTAGCTATCTAGCCAACTAGCAAACATTAGCTATCTAGCCAACTAGCAAACATTAGCTATCTAGCCAATTAGCAAACATTAGCTATCTAACCAACTAGCAAACATTAGCTATCTAGCCAACTAGCAAACATTAGCTATCTAACCAACTAGCAAACATT